CGACGACCACCGCCAAGCAAACATCCACGGCAGTGGATGTCGGCATCAGTGGCCCACAAGCCGCAAAGTACACATCGGCCATCATCTCCAGCAACGGGCGTTGGTTGCAACACCTCCGGTTCGAACAAACGTTGGGCCCAGTATGCCGCATCAGGGTTGTCCATGCCCAGCTCGTGAAAAGGCCAGCGCACCTGAGGGGGGAAGCGCACATCACGTGTGTGCACAATCCGGGCCTCGCCCTTCGTCTCGACGTAATGTTCGAAATCCAGGACGTAGTATGACTGCAAGCGGCTATACCCCAACACCACGCCAAGCCGTCCACGAGATGCAAACTTCTCATGTTCCTCTGACAGGTAGTAGCACGCAGAGCCGAATGGACGCAACTTGCTCAAATCATAAGAACGATTGAAGCGCATCTGGTAGGGTGAGTCAGCACCACCTGCGCCCGGGCTGCGAGCATACACAAAGAGGAAGGCCATGAGACAGAACGTCCAGAAAGCATACGGGACTCCAGACGCAACAAAAAGGCAAGCCATGCCTTCCGCAACTGTGCGGTGGAATCGCTCAGCACGGGAATTTGTCTGAGGTCGACGTGGCAAGGAACGTTCGTGTCTGATTTTCCGTTCCTTGAGTTTGGCGGCGAACTCGCCCTGGAACTCGCCACCATTGTCCGTCCGGACTGAAGACACTGACTGGTTCCCATACATGTCGTCGAAAGCGGCAGCGGCTTCGGAAGCCTGCTTGGTGCGCAAAGCACGTGCTGCCGGGTACCCCGTTGCATCATCATGCGTGATCATGGCATACACCTCGTCATTGATGCTGGGGCGTGCCGACAAGATCACAGTGAATGCGTTCCCCGTGAACTCGAGCTGTCTGCTTGTCATCTTCGACAGCTTGCTTTTTGCGAGCCGCTGGAGCTCGACACATTTTTGCTTGCAAGCACACTTCGCAGGTGGGGTCCTTCGGGTAGTGAGCCAAGCAATGTTGATCCGCAGGCTGCGACTGCGTCGCCAATGCAAGGGGAACCGAAAGGTTAGCGAGCTCTGTCTCACCAAGCGTCAAGCAAAACTCCCGAAACATCTGAGCGAAGAAATCGTTCAAGTCTGTGTCGCTTGCAGCCTCAATCAAGCTTGCCGGACCAGCATCGACTGCGCTCAATAGAAACGGGACGCGATTGACCATGGTGAGCGGCACCTCGCTGGAAACACCGTCGCGCCAGAAATGTGGCTGCTCAGACCATGCGGGCCAGTAGAAATGATACCCCAGCTCGGCGCAAGTTTCGCCCATCGACGCCATGTTGATTTTAGAGTCCGGCATCACCATGGCCGAGCGACGCCCGAGATGCGGAACCATGGCGTCCACCATAGCTTTTGGCCGGGCCGTGCCAGCGCCTGTGTCGATATCGCAGTCTGCACTTTGCATTGTCTCCCAAACGGCATCATCGGCATTGTCGCCCATGATGCAGAACTGGCTGGCTCCCGAATCCAGAGCCCATGCCGCACCCGCAAATTGTTGAAGATCGTCCGGCTTGACATCGGCAAGCCACGCGGAGCCACCGAAACGTTTGGTGAGAAACTCCGAAAACGCTTTGGTGAGGACATCTGCCGGAACTGCAGGCCCAGGCCGAGCGCCCGTGGACGCTGCCCCCAATCCAGGCGGCGCAGATGCCCCACCGCTTGACGAAGAAGCATTGATCTTCGCCGCGAAGTCCGGTCTGTACGCGGAACTCTTTGGATTCAACCAGCACTTTTGTGCTGTGTGTCCGGGCTTGTGACAATGATCACACGGCTTGTCATTGCCTTTCTTGTTTTTGCTCTTGCCTTTGCCTCCCTGTGATTTGCCGCCCGCTGCCGTGGCAGCAGCGACCTTGGCCGCAGCAGCCTTTCTCTGTGCTTTTCGCCTCTCAATCTCCTCAGAGTGATGTGCAACCAAACCGTTGATGGCATATATCAAGGCGTCTAGATCCACAGAATTGCTGGCATTGAAAACGGCAAAAGTGGCATCCATTTCTTTGATATCTTTGAGCTTGCGCTTGAGAAGCGCAATGCCCCCAGCATTGGTGAGCTTATGCTCGCCGGAACTCATCTGGTGGCGATACAACGAAAAAGATGCCATGTAGCTGTCAAGCTCCGACAATCCAGAACAACTGAGCTCTTGAATCTTGGTGTTAGCCTCCGTGGCTAAATGTGTTGACTCATGCAAGTGCCGCTGGTCAACGATGCGGACAGCTTGACGACCACAACCAAACTGTGCACGTGATTGTATAAGCTTGAGAATCTCTGGTCCTTTCTTTCCCTTCTGACATGCGGCAACCACTGCCGCGAAAACATTCACATCTGTTTTGTTCATGTCTACGGACAAGTTTGACGCCAAATCGCCAAAAGAAACAGATTCATCATCAAGCTCTCTGATATAAGCCATGGCAGCAACTGGGTCCGGTGCTACACGCAAGATTTGACTCTTCAAACTGAAGCGCCAGCCCTCATAATCAGAACCAGTTTCTGGCAGATCTTTAATGTAGATGCGCCCTGACGTCGCATCGTCTGTCGCCATGGCACCTTCGAGCTACGGCTGATGACCCTGTGTTGGTCACAGCTCAAGCAATGCACAGCTACACACAGCTTCGACGGAGCAAATGTTTTCACCCGGTCACTTGAGCCAAGGCATTGCCAAGGCAAGTCTGCGAAAGTCATGTCTGATGCAATCACTCTAGAGTGACTCTGCGTGACATGCGAGGCACGTTCAGTGAGCAAGTACTTAAACTGCTCACAATACCGTCATCAAGATTGAAAATAGGAATGGTGAAAGCGGGCATCCTTGTGAAATGCCAAAGCATTGAATATGCGAGGCTGATGAATGACCAGACGCGCGGACTGTGAAAGTCCTGTTGCTGTAAATTGCCCGAATAAGGCCGCGAAACAAAGGCAGCAAACCAAATCTTTCGAGAGCATACAGCAGACCGTCGGGACTGATAGAGTCGAACGCTTTTTCCCAATCCAGGGACAGCATCACCAGAGTACCATTCCGGTCTGCCAATGTCAAGTTGAGCAGTCTCCGTGCAACAAAAATCGCGTCAGCGCTGCCACGCTTGGTGCGAAAAGCAAATTGTGTAGGCCAGATTCGCTCTTCAGCTCCAGCATTCTGCAAACGTCTAAGTAAGGCCATGGCAAACAATTTATAACCAGCCGATACAACGGTGATGGGGCGGTAGTTTTTGCACAGACCAGGATCACCTTTCTTGAAAATCGCCGTCGCTGACGCGTCATGCCATGAAGATGGCACCATCACATGCTCACGGATTGCGTTGCAAAGTGAAGTGGCCCACCTACACGCGGGAGAAGTTCTGCGACAAATGGTTTTCCAGAATTCTGCTGGCACGTGGTCGGTTCCCGTCGCTTTGTTGCGCCGCAAACGTGAGGCTGCTGCAATAATCTCCTCATCATTGAACGGCCCCGTCTCAACTGGTAGAGGCAAACCAATTGGGCTATCAGTAGTTGCCATTGAGACGGGACGAACGGCCCATTGTACATCTTGAAAATATTTAGCCAATGACTCTGCATGAAGTTCACTTTCCACAACCTCGCCGTCATCATCGCGCAAGCGTCCACATTTGGGTGCGAATCCTTTGCGTAGCTTGCGAACTTCGTTCCAATCACCAGAATGCAATAATAGGTCCAACCAAGCCCTGCGGTCTACAGTAACGGAACGCCGTATTTGTTTGGACAAATCACGCTCTGCAGAAACATCCCTTGAAAACCGCACATCATCTCGTCGCTGTAGTAGGGACAATGTGTCGCTTGAAATCCAAGGCCGCTTGGCAACACGCACGCATTGTGGCAGACATTTATCAGCGGCGTGATGAAAAGCGTCAGACATCACATGGTAAAAACCATCGATGGTTTCATGATGTTCGTGATTGCTCATTCATGCTCTCATCAAACAGTAAGGCAAATCGGTTCGCCACCTCGACTGTATTAAGTGCGGAAACTGAAAAACGAGAGTTGGATGCGTGCTTCGGGAATATCTCTTTGACGACTTTGGGGACGGCAATCTGTAAGTCAGCAATCACGGCGAAATGGTGTGACGCAAGAGCCATGTTCATGTCCGAATACAACTGACGAACAGTGTCCAACCATGCTCTTTGTACCAATACAAAATCAATCTGCCCAAAATGTGCCGCGGTAAGCTCGTCAACTGGTGAGCTCCCCACGTTGTAAACAGTAACTTGTCGACAAGCTGGCTGTTCCATGAACGTGTTAGCAACGACCAGATCATGGGCATGACAAAGTTCCAGCAAAAGGCTGCGGTTTGATTGTGCATCAATGTGTGCTGTTGCCTGTCCGAAAACATATGGACCTAAATATCTGGAATCAGCTTCCTCGTCAAAGATTTTGTGAATGCGGGCGTTGAAATCGCCCACTACATACAAGGGCCCGTGACGAGACTGCTGCGTCAGCCATGTTGCAACATTATGGAAAAAAGCGTGTCTCACGGCAAAATCTTTGCCGTTGTGAGGAGCATAAATGTTGCAAAGCACCAACTTGCCACCGGGAACCCGGAGTTTGATACGAGCCATACGAGCTGAAGGTTGTTGAAATCCCACCAAGTTGCGGCGAACATGTGGCGATAGCAAAAAACCCACTCCTGCGGTCTCAGCGACCTCTCTCGGCTTGGCCTGATAAAATCAACAGAAAACCCGCGTCAGTAATTTGCACGTCTGAATCTTCTCGGTGTATTTCTTGTAAACAAATAATGTCAATAGCCTGTTGCTGCATGTGCCACTGTAACTCCATGATCTTCGATAGTAAGCCCCTCAACCTTCCATGTTGTGATACGAAATGGACCTCCAGAAACTTTCAAGTTGCCCCCTCGGAACTGCTGTGCCGAAAGGTGACTTCGACAAAAACTTCGTGAATTTGATGGGTGTCTCACGTCGACGCACTTGCAAACGGAATGCCACCATCCAGTGGCAGTGAAACCATGCCCATGTGCCCGAGTCCCTACGGGACCTGGTTTTTGCTCTTGCTTTTGCCTGCCCCCTTTGTATGCTTCCCCAAAATCGCATTGGCCTTTTCTGCAAGTCTGTGTAGCTCGGGAGCTTGCTGAAATTCCTCCCAATTTGCCCACTCGTTTGACCAAGCCAGCTGCAGAACACCATCGCCTTTGTCCGAAACTTGTAAGATCAACTGGTCTCCGATCATAAGTTTGGAATAACCTTCATCCATGTGGATCTCCCGCTTCACGAACCCCCATTCCGCAAGCTGCCAACGAAGTCCCATGAGAAAAAGCTTCCGAGCACGAACGTTGGGAGGAAGATCTTGTGTTGCCCACACCGTCTGGTCGCCTTCGTTGAATTTGACGCTACGTAGCAAGGCCACAGCTGTGTCTCGGTGTAGCTTGGAGGCAAACTTGGCGAACACGAGCCCATTAAACGAAGTTGACTTGATGTATGTGCCAAGGTGCATAGGTCAATGCAAAGCACGTAGTTTGTCTACAGCACCAAAAATAATTGGTCCGGTTCCTGTGCTTGCGGCACTTTACGGGTTAGCGGCAGCAGGAAGCTCGTGCAGCGAAGTGGCGAAGGCTCGATGCGCGGCAATGGAGCGGATGCCACTCCAACGCTACACCCACGCAGCTTCAGCGCGGCGAACGGCGACACGCGCGCTGGCTGCGCGAGCCTGCGCGAGAAGTCGGAGAAAAAACATGTCGCGGCTTCCTCACTCCAGCGCCCACCCGATTCAATGCCGAAAACGATAAGGCGGCAGCGGCGAACACGGAGCAACTCCGGATAGGTGTGCCGGCGCTTGCGCTGGGCCGCCCTTGCCGATGCAACGCATCGGCCGCGGGCTGTGGCCGGCCGTCGTTCGTGAGCGGGGAAACGAGCTTCGCAGCAACGGCGAGCTGGGCTCCGTCCCAAAGCGGTAGGCCATGGCACACGACCTCGATCCTCTTGGAGTCGCTGACCAGCACATCAATGTTCATGTCAGCGACGCGAACATTGCGTGCAACACGCGCTCTAGCTTCCCGGCAGATACGGGGAAGGGCATGCTCGAGAGGATAGTGACATCGTCGGAGGTGGGGGAAACCGTAAACACACGGCCATAGTGTGGCCCGGCCTGGGAAAGCAGCACAGCACAACCCGCAGGCGAAATATCAATAAAGTCCGTCTCGAGCGCGCGCGCGCTCGTCGCAAGCTCGGCCAACCCAGCCAAGGAAGTAGTCAATTCCATCGCCGTCTTGAACGGCCGCAGCAGGCGGTAAGGCGACGTTGCCGAGGGCGGTGTCCCAAGCAGGAGTGCGAAGGCCCTGGCTGACCAGGTGAGCTGCAACCAGCATGGGCCGCTGGCGTGACGACAGGCACACGGCCGGACTCAGTGTCCGCGAGCAAGCGTTGGAGATGCGCGACGGCTGCAAACGCACGGTCCCGGGCAACGTGTCAAACCAGGATGCCCCGTTCGCAACGTGCCGGTCGAGCGTGGCCGCTCGCAGGCCCGCCTCACTGCAGGTGCAGACGGGCGCTGCACGTGGAGGGCGTGCAGGCACCGGTCAACGGCACCATCGTGCACTTCCGAAAGGGCACGGTGGCAGCAGGCAGCAACACGCCGCGGAGGTATAGTTGGCCCGAGGGCAGGTGCAAAAGCGGAACAGAAGCTACAGTATAGGCGGCCTGCAGGTCCTCGACCACCGGCATGCGCCTTAGCAGTCTGTCGTGTTCAACCCGCTTGAGCTCCAGCTGCCGCTGCACGAGTGCGTCGCGCCCAAGTGGGCTGCCTAGATCGAAAAGGCCTTGTTGGTCAGGGCGAGGAGACCAGTCGCCTGTCCATACGACAAAGTCGGAATATGTCGGAATGCAGGTCGGCGCTTCCTGACGGCTCCTCCCCAGCAACGTTGCATACGCGGTTTTTGCCACGGTTGAGCTCAGTACGGCCATGTCGCCAGAGGGCATCGTAAAGTGGGCGTATCCGGTCGGGAGCGACGACATACGTGTCGTCAAGGAATTTTGTCTACGCCGCTTGACCACGCGGTGGAACCCGTCGCGTTTCCTGAACAATCTCTTGCTAGCGAGTCGATACCGTCGTGTGTTTTTGCTGTTTTCTGGGTCTTTGGATTTTGCTGTTTTCGGGATCATCGTCATCATCATCATCATCATTGTCAACGTCGTCATCATCCCTGCATGGTCATCGTTTACATTCCGGTATTCACGTCGTCCCCACATGAGATGGGAGCTTGAGGTCGCTTTTGATTCCAATTCGTGCGCAACTGGGCCATTTCAGGGTTCAGACCGCTCTCGCAAAAGCATCACGTGTACTGACACATGTTCGGAGGCAGGCTAGAAGCTAGCAGCTTTTGTGCCCAAAGCTACAGTGCAAATATGGCTGTCGGTGGTGGTGCGTTGAGCAACCACGTATGCGAAGCAATTTGCTGACTCCTCCGAACATCTTCGGAATAAGATCCTCAACACAACAATAACTACACAATCCCGACCCAAAGCATAAAACC